GGCAAGCTGGACCCTCTATGGCCGGCCAACTCCACTGGCCAATGTTGTCCCCCTTAGCCGATTTCTACTATTTATTCTGCGTGCAAAGGAGTCTGGTGGAGACTATGCGGTTGTAACTAACTCCCTTCCGGTCTTAAATTAAGCTCATTTCCAATTTGACGGAGTGCAGAGCTCTGTCGGCCCTTCGTTCGACGGTGAATTTGTTCGCTTACCGCTGTTTCAGTTCCTTCTTTAGCAGGTCATTGCCCCTTCGTCGAGTCCACTCTTGGGGTCAACCAAGGACATTACATAAAAAGGCATCATATAATGTCCTTGTCCTATAATGTCCCGACATCACGAACTGTATTGTCAGGTCCACGCGCACCCTAGCGTGATTGATGTTGCCGACAGATACCTGCACCTGTCATATTTTATTATTTCATTTCATTCACATATATTTATGAGCATTAGATAACAAGCACGTGTGTGATTCTAAGATCTTTTTCTCAAGAACACAAAACATACAAAATACAGATTTATGTATCGGTATAGCCGGTATAACCGCCCTTCGGCGTAACACACCAGCTTCAGGTTTAAACAAGTAAAATCTGAGAAATCTGAGATTTTATACCTCCGGGCTTTTTATTGTATTTTTATACAGGGTTTTAAACAAAGAATTTATCGATACTGGACACCCCTCTGTGTGAGGGGTCATATACGTGGACCAGACCGAGAATAGCTTAAACACGCCAAAGGTCGCGACCACTTTCACGCTCAAAAGGGTGTTTTGGGGCCACCAAAAGGCACCATTTTCACGCCCGAAAACACATATACAATAAAAACAAAAGAACGTGCATCATCTGCAGCCCAATAGCAAAACATATACCGAGTCTCAAAAGAATCCGTCCACCCAAACGCGAGAAACAGCTGCGAACATGAACATCTACATATCTCACAAAACCCTTCCGCGGAAGGATGTCTCCTCCCCCGGAGGTAATAACAATACAAAATGTGTAACGAACATAAAATGAAAGTTGTTGGCGCACCAATAGACATACAATGAATTGAGATGACGAATTACATCTTCCAAACTGAGAGATGAAATTAAAATTTTATTGCTGCATTGTTCTGATGGTGATTTATGTGCGTGACGATCTATGATTATCATTATAGTAAGTATGAATGGAAGCAAGTCCTTGAATTTTCATCATCTCAATAATTTACGATGCATGAACCATGACACCAGTGACGAATCGCTAGTCACCCACGACAGCGTCTTGCAGGTCAGACACTAGTCGCTACGCGGCGCTGTGATCACACAGTCGAAACTTCTCAGCATAACCAATTGTGTACATTCTTTCTGGTATATCCATTTCCCCAAATAAACTTTGTATTCCAACATGTAATCGCAAGACATGGCACACTCAAGTTTTTTCAACTTATTCTTATACTGCCACTTATATACCTCTTATACTGCCACCAACACAGAACAATACAGTACTCATTTACCTGAGTAAAGTCAGGAAAGTCGTGTAAAGTGGCTTTCCCAAGGGCACATGGTCGGTGGTATGGCATGGTTTGGATGTCAGCGTCACAGCCCTCCTGCATGACCTGAGATGGCCGTCACTTCAGTCTCGACGACAGCAAGCACGACTAGTAATGATGTATAAGATAACCAATGGTCTCGTGGCTATCCCATCCAGTCGGCTTATCCCGGCAGTTGCTCGTACCCGTGCCAACCACGCCCACAAGTACAAGACTCTGAGACCACACTGTGACATTGCAAAATACTCATTCTATGCTAGGACAATTCCTGAATGGAATAACCTTTCTGCCGACGTAGCTGAGAGTCCATCATTACAAACTTTTAAGAATCGTTTATCGTCACTTCCGTAATCATGTGTATATCTCCCCTCTGCGCGATGTCCCTGTATGTAGGGAATTTGCAGAGTAGTAGCTAGAACTAGAACTAGTTTGAACCCGGGACCTCTTGGTTCCGAGGCGAAGACTCTACCGTTACGCAACACGACCCCACCCAAATATATTTAAAAAAACATATACACATGTACTGTACATGCTTTCTGATATACCCATTTCCCAAATCTCGTTCCCATGTCCACACAGCATGGCGGCAATGGAGACGTCCAGAAGAACTCTGGGGACGAGACCGAGCGTGAGAGTTGGAGCGCCAAGATGGATTACATCCTGTCCATGGTGGGGTACTGTGTGGGGCTGGGCAACGTCTGGAGGTTCCCCTACCTCTGCTACGCCAATGGAGGAGGTCAGTCAAGATCTCACTCACTCACTCACTCACTCACTCACTCACTCACTCACTCACTCACTCACTCACTCACTCACTCACTCACTCACTCACTCACTCACTCACTCACTCACTCACTCACTCAGTCCTCTTGCACGATGTGCGTCGAGCCTACTAGGCGGACCACCCCCTTCCATCTCGGCCTGTCCTGGGCGAGCCCCTGCGCTTCTTCGGGGGTGATGTTGACCAGGGCCAGGTCCTTGGCCAGGACGTCCGTCCAGCGGGTGCGGGGGGCCCCCGAGGTCTCTTCCACCCAGCAGACTGGGGGCTGAAGTTCAGGATAGCCCGTGTAGGGTGGTCGGGTGGGAGTCGTAGGACATGTCCGTACCAGCGGACTCGGCGCATCGCTGCCACACGGGAAGCAGGAGGCTGCTTGGTTCTTTGCCTGAGCTCTCAAGATCTACATGTACTCTATCTTAGCTTTTGTAAAAGTAATTTGGCAATACCTAGTTGAAATTATGCCCTGGCGGTACTAAGCTTCAGTGTACAATGTGAGATGTAACCAGTATGTTGTCCATGGTGGGCTACTGTGTGGGACTGGGTGACGTCTGGAGGTTCCCCTACCTCTGCTACGCCAATGGCGGGGGTGATTCCTCTTGTCTCAATCATGTTCTTACTTGTACTAGCTACTGCTTAATTGGTCAAAATATTGCATGGGAACGGCAGCTATTATGCAAAATTCTTCTTGTCTTATAATAGTCCACATCGGCAAGAATAGTAGAATTGGAAAAGTTAAACTTCTTCAAATGGCATTAGGCCTAACGCAATCGGGTCTTATGCCAAACAAAAGTTACTCAAGCAACTGGGTATGATTTCAACATCATATCCAGTTCAAAATCATATCCAGTTGCTTGAGTGACTGTTTATGGGCGTATCTTATTACCTGGGTGACCAACCTTCTACGACGTAAAAATTGGGCCGTAGTTATCCTGAACAAAGCCTAAGGTTCGGCAGACGATTCGGTGACTCGAATCCCCTTGTGTTGGAATATGCTGCCATCTTTCTTGTACTACATATACAGGTGCGTTCCTGATCCCGTATCTCCTGATGTTGGCGTTGGCGGGAATCCCTCTGTTCTTCATGGAGTCGGCCCTGGGACAGTACGCCAGTCTGGGGTCCATCAGTGTGTGGAAGGCACTGCCGATCATCAAGGGTTAGGCAACCATGCACTTTGAATCTTGTAAACTGGCCAGCAAATTGTTAGCACTTACAATTAGTCATATAGTAATGGGTTGTTGGGCTCCTAAGGTAATCCCACCGCTGCCACCATGTGTAGGGTATTGTCTCTTACCCTCCTCACGTTTTGATGTCGATCAGACACCTTCCTCAGAGCTTCTGACTGGAGTTCTGCTCACTCAACCACGTTTGGGATTGTGTTCTCGCCGCAAAAGCGCCACCTACATGGGTTACATATAGCGGCGAGAAGCAGAACTCCAATGAGAAGATCTGACGAAGCTGTCTGATAGACACCGAAACGTAAGGTAAGGCAGGTTTGATAGTATAAAAGAAAACCCCTATATACTACATGTATAGCAATAATTCAACAATGCCACATTCTTGCAGGTGTGGGGTACGCTATGGTCACAATCTCCACGCTCGTGGCCATCTACTACAACATGATCATCGCCTGGGCCCTGTACTACCTGTTCGCCTCCTTCACCAGCGTGCTGCCGTGGCACCACTGCGGACACTGGTGGAACACGCCGGCCTGCATGGAGAGTTCTGCCGTCGCCAACCGGTCCAACGTCACCGCAAACTTCAGCAGGGCCAGCCCCAGCCAGGAGTACTTCCAGTGAGAAACTTAACACTATTCACGTTAAAGACGAAGAACACCTTTATTGTACATTTTTGCCCCAATGGGCTAAGCACAGGTCACAAAATTACAATCATAGAACCCACCACATTGATGGAAAAGAGTAGGGGTCTTTCCGGTGTAATTGGATCAAACTTACAGACCTATGGCTGCATCCTGGGTCGTATTGAGGTCACCCGAGTTAGCGCTGAATGGCAGCCGTACCAGACCCCTGCGATTAAACCCCCAATAATTGTAAGCTCCTCACAATTCAGCCCTCGGCTGCGAAGACAGAGAAACGGGCCCACCCAATAACAAAAGTACTATGGCCGTTATAATTTCAAGCCATGTCTTTACAGGCCACAATGCAAATGACTAGAAAAGCATAGAGAGACCTTCTAGCACGATACATGTATATATCTCTACTGTGGTCTCTCTACTTCCAGTAACCGTGTTCTGAAGTTCACGGACAGTATAGAGGATACCGGCAGCATCAGCTGGGAGCTGACCCTGTGCCTGCTGCTCTCATGGATCATCGTCTTCTTCTGCCTCATCAAGGGCGTCAAGTCATCGGGAAAGGTATCATACCTAATCTCCAAGTAGATCCTATATACCCTTTCCGGGGTTAATCGTATATAGAAGGGATTCATTTCTCAAGCTAACCGACATCTTGGACACGCAGTTGTCCGTCAGTAAAACATCTGGAGCCGCATAGTTCCCGTTTAGAACTTTTATTCAGCCTGTCACACGGCCGGTTTCGCCTGTGTGGCTTCTTCAAGGGTAAAGAGGCTAAGATAGCGGAGTTTATCGCTAGCTTTTAGTTGTTTTTTTTTTAGAAAGATGTTACCTACGTGTGTAAAAATTTTAGTATGATAGATTTTTCGATTGTGCATATCCACATACCTACAAATACAATACTATGCTTTGTCTGTATTTTGCAACATACGCTGTCGTTCATGATTGATTATGATTGTGCACTATTGAGCACCAGTGTTGCCATCTCGTTCCCAGGTTGTGTACTTCACGGCCACGTTCCCGTACGTCGTGCTGATCATCCTCCTCATCCGGGGACTTCTGCTGCCCGGCGCGCGGGACGGAATCATCTACTACATCAAACCCGACTTCAACAAACTGCTAACGTCACAGGTTCGGACACGGCTTGTATTCATGGTTTTTTGGTTAAGGTGTTATCGGACACAATATTGATTATGAGACTTACTTCTTTTTATAGCACCCCGGGTGCCAGACAAGTTTACGGGCCGCTAACCGTTCCTCAGTCGGCAGCCAGAAGCCCTTCGCCCGCCTGTCTAAATTACCGCTGCGGTGTAGTTGAGCCCGTGGGGAGTATTCGGCCCTGTAACTTGTTGTAGGGCCAGCCAAACTCCCCCCGGGCTAGACTCCCCCGTAGCGGTATTTAGACAGGCGGGCGAAGGGCTCTTGGCTGCCAAAGGGAACGGCTGGCAGCCCGAAACAAGTTTGGCTTCCAGGGTATTTTATAGCTCAGAAATGGAGCAGTTTAGTTAGACTGACTGTGTGACTTCGACATTAGTTTTAGATATTGTTAATATGACTCTAATGTCGCTATATATACATCCTTCCCGTCTCAACGTAGCTACATTGTATATGCTCGATGCGCTGATATAAACTCTGTAACAATAGCATTTATCTATTGATAAACAATTATAGTTGTTCAGAACGTTCAGTTGCTTTTCCTAGGCCTGTTACAACCGCTAGAGAGCGAAGCATTAGCACTGTTCAGGCTTGTCTGTCTGCGTTTCTACACTCGCACATTTGAGATCGTGTATTTTTCACATCTTAGGCACGTCTTACGATCCGATTAAGTTTCTAAGGGCAACACCAATCTTTCTGAAACGAGAAATCGTTATGTTTGTACAGATTTGGTACGATGGAGCGTCCCAAGTCTTCTACTCTCTGGGCGTGGCCTGGGGAGGGATTCTCACCATGGCGAGCTACAACAAGTTCAACAACAACTGTTACAGGTACACAATCTTGTCGGTTACGGTTCGCAGTCGTCCCTTCGTATGGGGACGCAAAGACGATGGTTCCGTATGGGGGTATAGTGCATGAAAGTTTCCGACGGCAAACCTCATAAAGAATGTTAAGAACTTACCAAGAAATGTAAAATACGTACTAAATAAATGTGATAAATAATCAAGTCTGTAGAGGTGTTCAGATGTTATCATAAAAGTTCATCTGTGTTCGTACTTCGTGGTTAAAACTTCAGATCCAACACACCTAGAGCTTTCGACCAGTCACTCTGGTCTTCCTCAGTAGACTGACCCAGTGAGGCTTGTCACGTGACTTCTTTGAAATGTGACGTCAGCACTGGGCCAACCAGATACCTTTGACCCAGTGTACGTGTTGACGTTGTGTTGGATCTAAAGTTTTAACTGATCTGATATTCTTGGCTAATAAAGATGCGAGCAATGGCGATGACTATATGCACGCTACAGGAGTTACGTTACCTAATTTACAGTATCTTACTTAACATACAGTATCTAATTTTAGGTTTTTCTTATATTTGTTTCCAACTAGGGACTCCATTATAATCCCTCTAGCTAACAGTGGTTCCAGTATCTTCGCTGGATTCGTCATTTTCTCCTATATCGGGTACATGGCGCACGAACTGAAGATGGACGTCGGCAAGGTCGTGGCAAAAGGTGATCATTGTTTCGTTTACTTTACTTTACTTTACATTACATTTCATATATTCCAACATGACGGCATACTCAAGTTCTTCCAACTTACAATTAATGCCGCCACCAACACAGGTTACATTACAGACCATTACAATACTCAATACTCATTTTCACCTGAGCGAAGTGAGGAAAGTCGTGTAAAGTGCGTTTCACAAGGGCGCAAGATCGGTGGCATGTCAGGACTCGAACTCGGGACCTCTTGGTTCTTTCCGAGTCGAGCGTTCTGCCGTTACCCCACTACATAACTCTGGTACTTGAAGACATGACTATGTCTTGTTCTTTTCTAATGACTTGACTGACACGCCGAAGGGTCAGTGAAATGACTCCCGTTGTTTTCCAGGCCCTGGTCTGGCGTTCATTGCGTACCCAGAGGCCCTGACACTGATGCCCATCTCGCCTCTGTGGTCATTTCTGTTTTTCTTCATGCTCTTGACACTGGGTCTGGATAGCGAGGTGGGTAGAACAACCAACATTATAAGCATACCATGAGCGAGTTATCTAATCTCTAATTCTAAAATGTTCACTTTACAATGATATCAGAAACTGCCGTGGCCAAAATGCACCCTTACTTTCCCACCACCAAGAGAAAACAATTCTACTACTAAAATCAAAGAACTTACACATCATAGACGAAGTGGGTAAATTCGTCTCCCACTGCCTCAAAAGAAGAAGTCAAGCCCATTAAAACTAGTACGATGTATATACGTATGTTGTAGAGTGTAGTATAACTTTGCACATAGTCTCTTTTCATTATATCGTCTTTTTCATACATGTTGTTTGTAGTTGCAAGTAGCCATCGGGCATGTATTTGCAACAAACATTCCTTATATACTATAGCATTATCCATTCTCTTCAATCCTCTCCCCTTGTTCTTCAGTTCGTGACCATAGAGACGGTTATAACGGCCCTGTCCGACGAGTACCCGGGTCTACTGCGGAAGTACAAAGTCGCGGTTCTGTTTGTGTCGTGTGCGGTCATGTTCCTCCTGGGTCTCCCGTTCTGCACACAGGTAACGGCGTTACACAACATCTGTATCTGTATCTGTATAGCCGGTATAACCGCCCTTCGGCGTAACAGACCAGCTTCTGTATATGTGTATGTATATAGCCGGTATAACCGCCCTTCGGCGTAACAGACCAGCTTCTGTATATGTGTATGTATATAGCCGGTATAACCGCCCTTCGGCGTAACACACCAGCTTCTGTATATGTGTATGTATAGCCGGTATAACCGCCCTTCGGCGTAGCACACCAGCTTCGCAGGCACCCGGCGCGGCGGCAGCTGGCTACATTACACCGAACGATGTATTACATGTAACATCTAACTTGAACATCTAACTCTATACATTGTTTAAACCTATCTAGTGACAATGCCTCTACTGTACTTGGTGACAGCGAGTTCCACTATGCGATAATTCTAGGAAAGAATGAGATTTTGAACACCTCAATCCCTGGTTGATAACTCTGGTACTTGAAGGCATGGCTATTTCCTATTAGGTACTTAGTAGTTGGTACGCCCGCCAGTGAATTTGTATCGTTGCCTTCACTAGTGCAGGTGCCCTGCCGTTTAATAATTTTTCACTAAATGACGCCCGTTTCTCCCAGGCTGGTATCTACTGGGTAACACTGATGGACACCTACGCTGCCGGCTTCACCCTACTGATTGCATCCTTTCTGATGGCGATAGGAATTTCCTACTTGTATGGTGAGTAGTAATGTTAGTTTGTATTTGTACATATACCTACCAAATAAACCCCCTAGCGAAGCGAATCACAGACGTGGCTAACTGACCAATGATTAGCCTCTACCAGGCTTCGAGAGGCGGCTGGAAAGAATAGAAATTGGCCAAAAAGAGAGAGATATTAAACATGCCGGGGGAGTTCGTCCGCTAAATAAAATGTACTCTCTAGCGGACCAACTCACCTGGCATGTTATCTCTCTCTATTTGGACAATTTCTACTCTTTCCAGCCGCCTCCCGAAACCTGGTAGAGGCTAAACAATGATATTATGGCCTCATAATCAATGTCTATTATAAACGGTGTTTCTTTTTTTTCCATAGGAATCCGACGTTTGAGCGCAAATATCAAAGAGATGTTTGGTTACGAGCCTAACTGGTACTTCAAAGCTTGCTGGATGGCGATCTCACCACTAATGGTGCTGGTGAGTACCAATATGGCACGTTGGAAACGAACGTAGTCTTTTGCAGGCTGAATAAATAGTAGAAAGAATGTAGCTGGCCGGCCATAGAGGGTCCAGTATGCAGGCAAACTGGGAGTTTCAGGACCCTGTATGGCCGGCCAACTCCCCTCGCCAGATACATTCTTTTAGGCCGATTTCTACTATTTATTCAACCTGCAAAAGAGCCTGGTGGAGACTAAAACGAGCGTACGCTACGACGTCAACACGTTAGATCGTCAACCTTTCTGATTTGCTCTCAATGTAGTGAACGGTTCAGTACCAATCAGTTAGCAACATATCAATTTTGTCTCTATTCTTGTCATCCTCTATTTTTTGTCATCTATGGATTTCTTAACCTCAACGTGATTGATCTGTGGTATAACCGCCCTTCGGCGTAACACACCAGCTTTGCAGGCACGCCGCGCGGCGGCAGCTAGGTACATTACACCGCACGAATGATTAAATGCTCATAAACGCGTTGTAAAAGTCGCTGTTTCCTCCCACAGTTTATCTTCATCGTCAGCCTGGCGGAGTACCAGCCCCCCACGTACTCCGGTCACACGTACCCGGCCTGGGCGGCAGGACTGGGTCTGGCCATGGCGTTCACCTCTATCGTCATGATCCCGCTCTTCGGTATCATAGCGGTGTTCAAGCAGGAGGGAACCTTGATCGAGGTATGGAAAACACCATTATGTGACATATGAGACTCTATGTACGCACAGTATTATGATGTTTTTCTTCTGTAGGTGTCTTATAAGCCCTTTTTGGGCTGGGCGGCGTGTAGTCTCAAGTCTCAATGATAAAATAATAAACTTTCATTCATTCATTCATTCATTCACAGTAAGGTTTCCGCAACTTCAGAGACCGCTATTACTTTATCGATGATTCCCCTAACTAAGACACGTTTTTAGAAGTCTAACATACTTAGATACATACTTCATTCGTATATCCCTTTAATGAAGTGCTTTAAAGAGTTCTTTATTCCAAGGCCTAATTGCAAACAGACATTGACAAAGACAATGAGTATAGAATGTATTGAGGAGTGGTAGAGACTCAGGTATGAAACTATATGCTAACATGAAGTTCTACGATCTACGAATCTCTATTTAAAACTAACGTACGTATACAAGATAAAGAGTAGATACGTAATGCATAAACAGGTAAGAGGAACATGGTAGCAACACTATTCTATTATACTATTCTAGTCAAGCTTAAAGGATATAATAGTATACTGTCCTTTTTAGATAACAAGAGATTAACTTCTGTATGTTACAGAAAGTTCGTGCGGCCTGCAGACCCGAGGCAGACTGGGGGCCTGCGCACTTCAGGGCGGCACTGGAGGAGAAGAAGGCCATGGAACAATCAGAGAAGCGAGCTGTGGACAGAATTCCCCTCCAGAGCCCTTAACCCTTGTCCTGCTGCCATTTTTTATGTTTACGGAAGGAGAACGTATTGTTTTTTGCTCTGTTTCTTCTTCCATTCCAAACACTGACCGCTGACCTGGCCAATGACCTGAACCAGACCGTCTCTCACCATGGTAACTGGTGTTGGGTTACATCATGTTGCAATTTTATAGCAGGAGGGATTTAGGCTCCTGTCACCATATATGTGAATGTGTTTGAGTAAGAATTGACAGAGAGGACCACATGCGAAGGTAAACATTATGCATACAGTCATACACATAGTCACACCCAATAACTATTTTACTCACTCACACTTTTAATACATGTAGTGCAATAATACGTTTTATATCATACCCCGGCCGCGATAACGTTCGATAACGGGTTCCAGACCGGGCCGTACGTTACGGTACGGCCCGGTCCGGAACCCGTTATCGAACGCTTCCATGGCTTCCATAAAACGATTCGAACGCGTTTCGCCCTAACCGCGTGTGTCCCTTTCGAAAATTCGAATACAGAATCCGGACGTTGGAACTGATGTTGTTGCATTTGAGGGTCTAGTGGCACCAACTTTTGGCTCATCTTGCATTGAAATGCGCGTTTTCTTGGGTGGGTATGATATAAATAAAATACAACACGGTGTATTCCGCATCGCCCTCGGTCTCGGCCCTCCCGCTGGGAAAATAGGTTGTCCCTAGCCTGGGTGCCATTCTCCGTAGTTTCCGTCGACTCCTATATATAGTGTCGCCGGCCGGCGGAAACTACGGAGGATGGCACCCGGCCCAGCGGTTCTCCCAGCCGGTCTTCTTTATAATATATAATTATCACTTCCGAGAAACACCTAGGACTTGCAATGTCCTCCAGACATCCTCAATGATTCACTTCAGTGGATACATAATGGGGTCAGCACGGAGCCGCAAGCGTATAAACATAATGTTGTTGTTGTTTTATAGTTATAGGGGTAAGCAATTGTATAAACCACGCCGCAGTACGTAGTATTGTTGCGTTACAATTTTGAATGAATAGATAAAGTAGTACTGTACGTGTATATCTAGAGATCTCGTGGTATCCCGGTATAGCGGTATTTGACTGGCCCAGTCCCGTTAATTCTGACAGCTGATATCTATCTGATGTTTGCCGTGAGCTGAATCCCATGGCTCAAAAAGTAGTCTCTACCAGACTAACTACGCTGGCTATATATAGGAGAATATTTGCCGGGGGAGTTTGGCCGCCTTGTAGGTTTGACTGGCCGCTTCGGAGGGAAAGAAACTACCTCCCCGCGGTCGGATTCCCTTGGCCAATTTGATTCTCTTTTTGCCGAATTCTACGATCCGTATTCCCGTAGAAAGGCCTGGTGGAGGCTACTCAAAAAGTGCGACAGTTGATCTGGTAGTGCGGGCGGGCAACCCTTTCAGTACCGAGGACATTTCGTGAAGCTCACCATTGCTAGGGAAGAAGAGAGCACAGATTTAGAAGAGATAAGAATGAGACCAAGACTAGTCCAGTCACACAGCACGAGGCTAGTAAAACACCAGACACCAAAATGTCCGATGCACAGTGACTACCTTTTGACATTTTAGCTTCCTTGCCTTGCACCTTTTTTTTTTTTTTTATTCCAACACGTAATCACCAGACGTGGTGACGGCACACTCAAGTTTTATCAACTTATATTAATGCCGCCACCAACACAGGGGACAAATACATGACAGGACAATACTCATTTTCACCTGAGCTAAGTGAGGAAAGTCGTGTAAAGTGCCTTTCCCAAGGGCACAAGATCGGTGGCATGTCAGGACTCGAACCCGG